ATAGGGCGCGTGCGCTCGCCAGACAGACAGAGAGAGACATAGAGACAGAAAGCGAGAAATCACCCCCCAGGGGGGATGGTCACGCCGCAATCCCTTCTCCTCCATTTTCCTCTCGGGATCTTGGGCACACATACACAAGCGCCCGGCGTGAGATTTAAGCCACCGGGTCCGGGACACGAACCAGGGTCGACTACATGGGAGTCCAGCGACATAGCCATTACACTAACTGCTGGTTCCCATTAATTGTTATTTTTTAATTTGACCATAGAGACAGAGCAAGAGTGAAAGACCGAAAGTGAGAAAGCAAGCCACCAGGTCTAGGACTTGAACAGCAGTCGACTGTGGGAATTCAGTGCCTTAACCACCACGCCACCTGCTGCGCCCCCTCCAAGAGTTTGAAAAGGCTGTCACAGGCACTAGGGTGGTCCCCGGCCCCTTGTCCGAGAGGAGGACAGGAGTCTGGGGTCTGCTGCATGGGCAGTGCCCTGCACCTTATGCTCCTCGTCCCAGGGGACATGCAGCTGGTGGGCCTGAGTGTAGGCTGTGAGGATTTCTAGACATTCGTCCTTAGGGACCCAGTGACCTCCGCACTGCCTTCCCCATCTCACAGATGAAGGAAACGAGGCCCAGGGCCGGAACCTGCTTTGGGCGTCAGGGAGGGCACGGCCAGGCCAACCCGCTCACGGAGCAGCAGCTTCAGGGTGAGGCTAGCGAAGGCTGGCGTCGTTGGGACCCGCCTATGCTGTGGTGCTGTGGGAGCGTGTGGGACCTGGCAGGAGACAGGACAGTGGTTGGCACAGGAGAGGAGCAGTCTCTGTAGTGAGGCCCAGGTGCCGCTGCCAGGCTCTAAAATGAGAGGTGCCCGGCAGTGTGACTTGGCAAACCGGGAGGTAGTACCAAGCCACCACTGGGGCCAAGGCGCAGGGACTCCACTGAACCGCCATACTCAAAGTGCCTGGGGCCATAGCTGCGAGAGTGACCGGGGCGGGGGGGACTGCTGGACTCTGAGCTGAGTGCCTCCCTGACAAAGTGGACGTCTCTGTGGTGGCTGTCAGGGCTGAGTTCGCTCCTGTGGGAGAGTGAGTCGTGGCAGTTGCCGGGAGCAGGAATTTAGGAGGAGGGCACAGGCTGCCTCTGCCCTGCTGCCCCTGCAGGCCTGTGTAATCCTGACCTCATGCCCCCAGCTCTCCCAGCCTTCAGGAGTCTTTGCTGGTCCCTGAGCACAGAGAAAATGTCCCAGAGCTGTAAGCAACTTTCCCGAACCTTCTCGAAACCGAACCAAACCAACCCGATGACACCCTGTGCTTCCTTCCCTCTCTTCTGCACTCAGTGCCCCAGGAGTCGGGGCCACAAGTCAAAGGGAAAGAAAAGGCCTGATTACAACAGCTTCCAGGCAGCGGGCAGGGCTGGCAGAGGGCGTTTCTTAGAAGGTTTCGGTAAGAAGGGTTTCCCTACTGTCACCCAGGACCTGCTTGGGACCTCCCAGCAGGGCCGGGTGTGGACTCCGATGGGTGGATCACACATCTCACACAGTTCCCATCGCTCCCGCTGCATGAAACACACCCTTAGTTCCAAAGAAAACATCCGGCACTCAGTGTACCTAGCAGGGATTGGACACTCGGCTGCAGTGTGGTTCTGAGCCCCAGAGCGGGCTCTGCCCAGTAAGGAGGCCCTAGCTAACTGCTACCTCCAGCTCCTCTGGAGACCTGGCAAACATCGACTAAGCGCCGCAGCCGCACTCCCGGGGCTGGGCAGGCTGTCCTGCAGGAGGCCAGGAGCAGTTCTGTGTCTCCCTGGGAGATACTCTCTGGGAGACAACTGGCCCTGAGCCCTCTAAAAGTGGCTGTGCAGGGCTGAGAGCAGCACCGCCGATTCCTGGGGGAACCTGGTCAAGAGGGTGGTCTTCTCAGGACCCCGACTCCCTCATCTGGAAGAGCAACAGCACACCAGCTCCCAGTGCAAATTAGACATGAGAGCACATCGAGCCGGCTCCGCAGTTCAGTGGTTGGGAGCTGGATCCACAGGAGCGACAGCTGTTCAAGTCCCTGCCCCGGAGGCCTGAAAATCACGCTGGACGCACATGCATGTGTACCCCGAATCCTGACAGGATGGAGCAATGAAGAAAGGGTTGTGGTACAACCATGCCCTCTTGGGGTTGCTTTCTTTCTCTCCCTCCTTCATGCAGTAAAAAGAAACAAAGAAACGATAACTTAAAAAACCCAAATCAAACAAACACAAAGCAACAAAATAAACAGAAGCATAAGGCAGGCAGCAGCCCAGAGCCTGGAGCACAGCTGGTGCTCGGAACTGCAAGTCCTCCGTCCTCCTCACAGAGTGCCATCCCTGCTCGGTCTAGCCTGAAAGAAAGTCACCATGGCTTTGCTTCTAGAGTGGTGAGAAAAGGAAAAACAAGAAAACGGTATTTTACCTAAACATAAGGACGTAAAGAAAACGGATTTACCTGCTACCTGGGATCAGGGGCACAGCCGGTGCTGGGGCCAGTGCCTTCCCGCCCCTCGGCCGGTCTCGGCCCGGCGCCCCACTCACCTTGGTCTTGATCTGCTTGGCCGAGTCGGTGAGGAAGATGGAGGAGTTGGGGTCGCTGGCACTCATCTTGGTCTGGGCGCCCTGCAGGGCGGGGAAGAAGGTGGAGTGCAGCAGGGCTGGTTTGGGGTAGCCGATCCTAGGGGCGACGTCCCTCGTCATTCTGAAGTAAGGGTCCTGTGGGGGAGAGGGGTTGAGGAGGAGGCTGTGATGGATGGCCAGCGGCAGCCCTGCGGGGCCCTTTGCAGGAGACTCCAGTGTCCAGTGAGCTCTGGAGGTCGGCTCCTGCCAGTGCCTCCCACACCTCCTTCCCCACGGGAAGGGCCGCCCAGGCCCAGGGGCCCGCAGTCCCCTCACCTGGTCGATGGCACATGGGATGAGGCACTGGACGTCCGCCCGGCCTCCGAAGATCTGAGGGAACGAGGTGCTGAAGGAGGGAGCGGCCTGGATGGCAGGAAAACTGATCTTCCCTGGAACGAGGAGAAAGTCCCTTTACTGAGACGGCTCTTGTTCTGGCTGATTAGCCCAGTGGAAGGCATGAGCAGAAATAAGAGTACCCGTTAAGGGAGCTACGGAGGAAGAGCACGCACAGGAAGGCTGCAGACCACGCTGGCACCCCCTTCGCACGCGCACGCCTGTGCTCTGAGTGCTCCGTGTGCTCCAGCTGGGCTCGCACTAGTGTCTCACACTTCGTGCTGCCCTGGCCTTACCCATGCCGCCACCGGATACGCTCCATCCTGCCGGCGCCTGCTCCCCCCGACCTGCATCTAAGCTCTGGGCATGGAGGGTCCTTACGCTGGGATGAGTGTCCTGGTCCCAGCCACTGTCCTCAGTACTGCGGACATTACAGCTGGTGGCATGCTCATCCCCCAGAGTCACTCGGCAGTGGCCGGCCAGGTGGCTCTTGCTATCGACAAGAACGTGCCACGGTGGCTGCACCAGCACCGGCCAGCTCCTGGGCGCGTGTCTCTCCTTGCCAGGCCTGCCTGTGTGACGCCCTCTTCTGCTGGGCGTCGTTTCTCCAGTCCAGAGAGAGAGATCCCAGTTCCAGGCCTGTGGCTGAGACCAGGTGGGTGGCTGCCAAGGCCACCAGCACCAGCAGAAGGCCAAGACAGCGGTGGCTGGTGCTCGGAGGGGAGGCCAGGCTGTGCTCAGGGCTCCCATCATTCCTCTGCACCTCACAGCTCCACAGACCCCGAGGAGCTCAGCACCTCCACCCTCCAGGGCACACTCCTGGCTTCCCAAGTCCTCACGGCTCGCCAGAGCTGGAGCACAGCAAGGAACTGGCTGGAGCGGGATTCAAACTCAGGTCCCAGAGAAGCAAAGTGCATGCAGCTCTCCTCGTGAAATGCTGCCTCCTTGGTCTCTGTGACGAGGCTGTCACTGTGATGCTGCCCAGTGCTCCCCCAGGATGAGCACAGGAGGGCTGGTCCCATGGTGAAGGGAGCCAGATCCCATAGGGCCAGCCATGGTTTGCAGCCAAGCCCTGATGGGTTGAGAAACACTCTGGGTGTGTGTGCCTGCCCACATCCGGACGGGGTGGAGAAACCCAGACAAGGGATTGTGACTGTCAGGTGGCGTCAAGGTTAAGGCAGCTGGATCCCACGTGGCCGACTGCAGCTGGAGTCCTAGAACCACTGGCTTGAAACCCACCATGAGGTGTGTGCACACGTGCCCGAAACCCTGACAGGAGAGACCGTGGTGTGGTCTCCCTGAGGGTGGTGCTTCCTCACTCTGCCTCTCTCTCCAGGAAGCACAAATCACAAACAATAGGGGACCCTGACTGACCATGCCTTGCTGGGGACGTTCTCCCTCTTCCTGTCTCTGGCAAGTGCATATGCCCTCTGGCAAATACAACAAATACTCCTGAAAGACAGGGTTTGTGTCCCAGTTATCAGGAATGAATCTGAGTACAACATCAAAGAACAGGGTTTTGCTTACGTGAAATACCCAGCAAGGGTTCTCTCCAGCCCTTCCTGCTGTGCTCATCCCCATCCGTGCGGGCTCCAAGCAGGGCTAGCTCCCCACAAATATGTCCCGGGGGCCTGCTTCGCCTCCACCAAAGGCCTCCTAGGCCTGGATCTGTCCCCAATTAAAGTGGAGGGAGGCGAGAAGGCCCAGCCACAGGGTGAGGAGGTAAGGTTAGCAGGCCAGCACCGGAGAGGGACACACTGACTGTGCGGAGCAGTGGGCAGGCCCATGGACCCAGCTCTGGAGCACACCAGGCAAAGTCCTCATCTTACACGGCGGGAAACAGGCTCAAGGAGACAGAGGCTTCGCCACAGGCCCAGCTGTTCTCCCACATCAGGCCCAGCTCCCCATGGCCACTGTGCACTGACTGAGGCCCCTGCCAGGGATGGAGCAACTCCACCGTTTCCTTACACCTGTCTTTCTTTAAACCTCACGACGCACGACTGAGGAGCCCAGCACCCAAGGTGAGCCACATGTGGTCCAGACAGTGGCTCAGGGCCCACATGGGCGCTCTGCCGTCCAGGGAAACCCTCAAACTGAGACGACAGCGAAAGCCGACACCTGGCCTGGGGACTTGGAACCATTTCTGGCCTCTCCCTCCTATCATGGAGGGGTGTTTTGGACAGGGTCTCACTATGGCACGACCCTCCTTGGCAGCCCTCACTCACCTGGGACTGCAGGTGTGTGCCTTTGCGCCCGGCTTTCTAGGGTGGGCTGGGATGGACCCAGGCGCCCGCGTGCCAGCTGTGGAGAACAGCATGTAGCATACGTGGCCACTGGGCCTGAGCCCCACCCTCCAGGTGGGCAGGAGGGGCCCACAGGCCGCAGCACACTTACCAATGCTGTCACTGTCAGTAAAGCCGAAAATGCCTTTCACTTGGTTGAAGGTGACATGCTTCTGGATCTTCACCACGTTCCTGTAGAAGCCTGGGCTTGACCTGGAAGGACACACACAGTCAGACTGCAACCTGGGGCCAGACCCAGGCCAGACCCAGCCAAGGCCATGTCAGGTCTACACGTGGGGACCTGGAAGGCGCGAGAGGCCACCTGTGGGCAGAAAGTGCAGCAGCAGTGTGGATGCACTGACCTGCAGAGCTGAGTGGGAAAGGGGGAAACCAAGGGGACCTGCCTCCACGGTGGGGACACAGGGCTCAGAGATCCAGGGGCCAGCACAAAGCATTCGAGTCCTATTGGGCCGACAGTCAGGGTTCGGCAAGCTCGTCAGGACCCTCGGGAGCCTGTCTGTTGAGGTCAGACTGCAGGTCTGTTGCTGTGGATGTATCAGGGAATGGACAGCAGCTAGGGCCCAGGAAGGCCTGTCCCGGTGCAGCTGGCCCTCCCGCTCCCTCTTCCACTGTGGGCAAATCTGACCCCGCCCCAACAGTAGGGCTAAGCCACAGTGGCTATTCAAGCTATCAGTTCTCTTGCGGATGTTGGAGAGTGTGGATATGAGGCCTGGATCTGTGGCAGCCATTCTGCTTCCACAGGGAGCCAGGCTGAAGATGAAGCACACACACTGGGGCAGAACCCAGAGCGGGGCTTCTTCTCCAGGCCCCACTGTGCGTCGGGCAGCACATGGCTAGAGAGGGAAGCGCGAGGAGGCTGGTATCGCTAAGAGTTTGCATTCAAGGTACCAGCAGATGGCATAATGGTTACGCTGCTGGACTCGCACACCGGACCATGGTTCAAGTCCTGCCGGCAGCTTAAAATTCACGCTGGGTGTGTTTGTGCGTGCCCAAAATCCTGAGAGGAAAAATGGAGACGAGATTGTGGCACGGCCACCCCTCCTGGGGAGGGTGGGGGGTGATTTCTCGCTTTGTCTCTTGGGGCGTCTGTCTTTCTAGCAAGCGCACATACCTTATAGCAAAAATCTCTTTTCCAAAAAGAAGTTTGCATTTGTGATTCGTGGCAGGAACCAGGCCAGGTGCCACCTACGTGTCAGCCCTCTGAAGTAGGAGCAGGCCTCTCCCTGACAGGTGGAGGCTGAGGCTCAGAGTAGCTCAGTGCCAACATCCCGGTCCTGGCGAGGCAGGAGCCGGACGCAGGCCCAGGGCCGCCCGGCCCGAGTCTCTGCCTTATCCACCTCTCACAGCCTTTTACTCTCACAGCTCTGGAGCTCAGCAGGTGGGGAGGGCATGAGGATGCCGGGATGCTGGCTGCCTGGGCTGGGAGGGACTGATGGGCTGTGGCCTCCCCTTGGCAGCAGGCTGAGTGTCAGCGGCTGAGGACAGTGCTGTGAGAAGGGACACACCAGGAGCATCGCAGTACCTGTGTCACCCCCTCAGCACAGTTGTGGCGGCGCGTACTCTGTCTCCCGGCTGGGCAGAAACCGCCGTGGCGGGAAGGGGCCTCCTGAGAGCAGAGGCAGGCCTGGGGCACTCACGCCTGGCGTGACCGTGCAGCTGCCAGCAGCTGCGCGGGAGACGGGCAAGAAGACACCGTGCTTCCCAGGTGGGGCCTGGCAAACGCTCATCCCGGGGCAGATGGACCTCCCACCTGGCGCTGCACTGCACTAAGGCCTGGCTCCCACCGGAGTGGGGATGACAGTTTTTCTTTGTGTTGTACACACACACACACACACGTATGTATGCATACATATGTATATTCTTCGTCAGAGGACACATGCACTCACCAGAGAGAGACAGACACAGAGAGCGAGAGAGAGCCAGAAAGCCCTCCCAGGGCAGGCTCAGGCCGCAGCCCCTTTTCCACCTCGCCTTCGGCATTTTGGGCATGGATGCACATGCCCGACATATTTCCCAAGGGGCCACATCTGAGCCTTGAGCTGCAGTCAGCCTGTGGTCCACCTTAGCCAGCATGCCACCGGGGACCAGGGATAGCAGCGCCCCCGAGTGAGACCACCATGGCCTTTCTTAGGAGGCTGGCTGCTGGCCGCTGTAAACAGTCCCACCTGTGTGGCCACAAGAGGATGGAGGTGCTGCCCACGAGTGTGAGCAGCAGGCGTGCCTGCCTCCTGGGCATGGTGAGGCCAGTCGCAGCCCACAAAGGCAGCTGCAGCCGCCATGAGCACCTGGAAGGGGCCGTCAGTGCTGAATGAGCAGTGGCTCCAGGAAACACACCTCCTCTCCACTGGCTGCAGAAGGGCAGGGACTAGACGTGACAGCTCTGGAGCTCCCAGAGGCCTGGCATCGCTCAAAACCCACCTAACGCGTAACGCAGGGAAACCTCCTGACACCCCACAGCACGGCCCTTACCCTGTGCACCCTGCCCTGTCCTCGCCACACGGCACAATGACCACCTGCAGGCTGAGCACCTCCAGCTCGCTGGCGGGTAACTGGCGTGCTCCCTGCTGTCCCCCAGCACCCAGCTGGCATGGGGTGGTCAGTAAATATCTGTAGGCTGAACACGTGAGCATGGAAAGAAGGTAGGGAGGAGTCATCCCGAGCCCCTCCCATAAGAGGTGGCTGTTAGGGCCTGACCAGGTGGAGCCCGCCAGCCTCCCTACCCTGCCCACAGCCAGCAATGAACTCCCCAGGTCATGGGAGAATGGAGGCTCAGACAGCCACGATTTGCCCAGAGGAGCAAAACTGAGCGGGGCAGGGCAGGGTCTGAGCTTACTTCTAGATGCCCAGCTCAGGGCCCTGGAGCCTGGTGGGGAGCCCTCTCTGGATTGGAAATAGGAGGGGGCCTTCCGATTCCTCCCCAATGAGGGCCTCACCATTTCCCACCCGCCCAGTGAGAGAGGAGCTGGCTTTGTTGTACTGCCAGCTCATAAAGACCAAGGGGGGCTGTGTTAAAGGCAGGTTCTGACTTACAGCTTTTCTTTCTTTTTAAAAAATTACTTAGCTATTTATTTATTTATTTCAATTTGAGCAGAGGGCTGGGGGAGGGAGAGAGAGAGAGAGAGGAAAAGTGAGAAATCACCCCTCCAGGGGGTTATGACCACGCTGCAATCCCTTTTCCTCCATTGTCCTCTCGGGACTTTGGGCATGCACACATGCACACGTGCTCAGTGTGAATTTCAAGTTGCTGGACCTGGGACTTGAATCATGGTTGGCCATATGGGAATCCATTAACCATCACACCACCTGCTGACCCCATGTTTTGTTAATTATTTACTTAATTTATTTAGCCAGAGGGCACATAGCCGCGAGCGAGAGCGAGAGCGAGAGCGAGAGCGAGAGCGAGAGCGAGAGCGAGAGCCAGAGCGAGAGCTCAACAGGGCATGGTCGGCCACGACCCTCTCCCGTTTCTCCACCCTGTCAGGTCCTGGGCATGTGGATGCAGGTGGCCTGCATGTTTTCAAGCCACCAGGGCCGAGGTTCGAACTGCGGTGGGCTGTGCAGGGTTTGGCTCCCTCTGCGGTGCCTCACTGCTGTGCTACAGGGCTGGCCATAAATTAAACCTGAGAAATGAAGGTGAACTGCTTAAGTCTTCAGAGTAAACTTCTAAACAGGGTTTTTAAAAATGAGTCTCTAACTTTAGGTTCAATGTAAGATACCTTTCTTCTGCAGAGTATGTGCTTGCCGGAGAGATGAGAGAGGGGGTAAGTGAGAAAGCACCCCCAGGCGTGTGCGTGCTGTGATCTCTCCTCCCCCCTCCCTCCCTGCGGGACTTGGGGCATGTGTGCACATGGACCCGGTGTTTTCTAAGCCACTAGGTCCAGGACTTGAGCCACAGTCGGCCATGAGGGATCCAGCCTCCTCGACGACCACGCCACTGGTTGGCTCTAAAATGCCTTTCTAACAAGGGTATCAGACCTTCTGCCTGACATGGTGCCTGTGTTTCATCTGTAGTCTATGTTTGTAAAGAAAAAGGAAATTCCTACTGAGCAAGGTGGGGCAGTTTTTGGTAAAAAGAGTCAAACTCTTAGGCAGTTACTTAAGAGACAGCTTGAGAAACAGCCACCACCAAGCCCATGTACAGAATGTGTTGCAAGTGGGGCTGGCCACGTGGTGGTCACTTGTCGAGGACTGTTCAAAGGTCCCTCTGCCCTGTGTGCACCCCGCTGTGTCACCTCTGCACTCGCTACAGGTGCCTGCTCCTGCCTCACCCCAGGAGGAACCACAGCCAGGCAGGGGCTCTGCTCTGCTCCTGCACTCGCAGGCCTTGGTGGGCGCCTGCCACAGAAGCAGGTCAGAACCACGTTTTACCCCCAGTGGGGCAAGGCCCAAGGCTGGGGACCACAGAGGGGCCTCTACCTCTGGGTGCAGGAAGGGAAAGGCTCTGGGAAAAGAGGAAGCTTGATTATGTGTCTGGAAGAAAGAGCAGGAATAGCCCAGCTGTGGGGTGGGGTCAGGGGAGGGCACTGGAATTCCGAGCCGAGCAGAGCATGCATGAAGTTGAGGGATGCAGAACTGCGGATTGTCCCACCTGGTGGGAGGTGGCAGTGGGGCTGGAGAGGACCACAGGGGTAGGCCACGAAAGCCCATGTGCTCAGTGAAAATCAGGGGCTTTCATTGTCACCTGATGAAGGAGAACTGGGGGAAGCATGCGGCTGACCGACAGATCAGACCTGCATTTTAGGCAGATCACTGGCTGGGGTGGAGGAGAGAGGACGTGATAGGTGGTGGGGTGGGAAGAGGCTGCGCAGAAGGACCAGGCGTTGTGTGATGCCAGCAGCACCACCTGGCTGCAATGGAAGAGGAGCCATGGTGGGCCTGGGCGAGGCTCCAGTTGAATCAGGTTTTTCAATGAACAGGATAAGAGACATGAAATACAGTGTCATGGAAACCCTAATAACAATGACATCCATGTTTTCATCTATCCCAGTTCATGAATGAGACTTCCTGGGATGCATGGCCGCTAGACAGAACTCAGGACTAGAACCCAGCTCTTTCTCTCCCCAAGGATACCACAATCCTTGCTCACATGGCAGAAATATGAGTCATGATTTAAAAACTTGAACAGTAGGCCAGCCAGTGGCATGGTGGGTAAGGCAGCTGCATTCCATGTAGCCAACAGTACAGTCTGAATCCCAGACCCAGTAGCTTGAAAAACACTCTGGGGGACCAGCAGATGGCATCACTGGACTCTCATGTAGTAGACCACAGTTCAAGTCCTGGACCTGGCGACTTAAAACTCATGCTGGGCACGTGTGCCTGTGTGCCCAAAATCCCAAGAGGAGAATGGAGAATGAAGGTTTCTCGCTTTCTGTCTCTGTCTCTGCTGAGTACACATGTCCTATAGCAAAAATCTCTCTCTTAAAAAAAAAAAAAAAAAAAAAAAGGGAAGGAAAACACCCTGGGTGCATGTGCATGAGTGCTCAAAATCCCGAGAAGAGTGGAGAAGAGACTGGGGCATAGCCATCCCCTGGAGGGGAATTTTCACCCTATCCCTCCCTACCCCTGTGAATGCATGTGCCCTTTAGCAAAACCAGAAATAAAAATGTAACATTGTACTTAAGCACATCTCCTATGTAAATTAGAGAACTCATCACTTTACAGCTGGCAGAAGGCTGGATTCACAGGAGGGCATCTCTTGCTCTCAGAGGGTCCAAGTGGCTACTCAGCTCCAGGCACTCAAGGAAGGCCACCGAGGAGAGGAAGCACAGTCCCGCTCCCTGCTCTCTGCTCCACGGCCGCAGGAGCTTGGCCTGGATCGGTGGCCAGAGAGCACAAGCAGGGGGCACTCGGCCGGCTGGGCTCGGCTGGCTGAGTCGGCGCCCCGGGGGGCAGCCAGTGCCTTGGGAGAGCCAGTCCCAGGTGTTTGGGAGGGAGTGACCCGCTGAGAGGTGTCCTGGTGAGGGCCAGCCGGTCTCCTTTCCTAACGTGCTACTTGCTAATCACTCAGGCAAAGTCCGAGACCCTGAAGTTTAAATGCAACGATGTTCAGAATGAAATATTTCAGTGTGTGAAATGGCCCATGTAAGAACGTAGATGGTGAGGGAATTGTGTAGGCAGGGAGTGTCTTCTCTCTGAAGAAGGAAGTACTTGGAAAAGGGCAAAGAGATCCCAACTTTGCCAGATGGCCTGTTCCTGGGGATTAGATGCAATGCAAGCATGTCTCTACCCCACGCCGGGACGGCCACCTGACACGCCAGCATGCCACGGTTGGCACGTGTTTTAAATTTCTGTAATACAATGACCAAGATCAACAGTGTGTCTCTATGTTGCTGACATTACTTAACCTTTCTATGTATATACACAGAAAGGTTATATGCTTCCACTTTATTTTAGATTCTTTGCCATAGGGTGTGTGTGTTCACTAGAAAGAGATGGGGAGGTGAGAAATCATCCTTTGGGGGAATGGTCATACTGCAATCCCTTCTCTTCCATCTTCTGCTTGGAATTGTGGGCACACATGCACACACACCTGGTGTGTTTTTTGGCAGCTAGGTTTGGAACTTGAACCATGGAGTTGGCCATGTGGGATTCAGCACTTTAACTACCACACCACCTGCTGGCCCAGTTTCTACTTTATTTTATTTTTTATCAAATTATTTACTTTTATCCACTATCATTATTGTTTTCAATTTTACTACAGAACAACAGAGAGAGCGAGAGCGAGAGCGAGAAAGCAAGCCGCCAAGTCCAGGCCTTGAAGTAGTTGGCCATGTGAGTCTAGTGCCTTACCCACTATGTCGGCAGGGACAGAGAGATGGTGAAGACACCCCCAGCCCGGGAGTGTGCTGTCACACTACAGCCCCTTCTTCCCTGCTTCTCCATCCTGTCGGGATTCTCAGCATGCACATTCACCCAGCCTATTTTTCAAACTGCCTGGGGTAGGGATTTGAACCCCATGGTTGGCCATGTGGGATCTGATTCCCTTGACTGCTAGGCTTTGGGGGCGGCCCAGGTTTCCACTTTTAAAAAATTATTGGTAAATGAAACCAGTATGCCAGATTGTAACGTTCAATAAAGGGAGAGAAACATTTACTGGGCCTGGAGACTTCACGGGCATTTGGGCCAGCTGAGGTCATGCTGTTCGACCCCAGAGCCGCACTGACTTAAGGGGCAGCCAGGGCTCTCTCCTCACCCCATGTAGTCGAGGTCCGAGAAGATGAACGTCTTGTTGACGTCAAAGCCACAGGCAATGATGTCCTTGGCGTTCTCCACGGTGTAGCCGTAGGCCTGGTCCAGGGTCAAGTCCTTCCACAGATACTTCTCATCGTCTGTCATCTGGATGACCAGGGGCACGTTAAACACGTCCTGCAGCCACCTGCAGAGACAAGGGGAAGAAGGGACCTGAGTCGTGCCACCGTTCACTGACTGAGAGGCCTGTACGGCGGGCTCGGGCTCGTACAAGGTCTCACTCCTCCTGCAGATGCGGGAACTCAGGCTCTGAGAGGCAGCCTGTGGCCAGCGTGCACAGGGAGCAGGACGCCGTGGGACAGTCCTGCCGCGCCACCGCAGTGTCCTCCACCTCGTCCTGCCCTTTGAAGGGAGTCCAGGAATCCACCAACGGAAGCCGGAGAGGTGCTGATCTGCCGACACCCTGGCTGCTCGGCCAGCACAAAACCCCATGGCTGTGCGGGGTAGTTCTAAATGTGGTTTACAACAACAGCTTTGCTTCCCTAATGGAGGGAGAAAAGTCACACGAGGTGGTACTCACTTCGTGAAGATAAACGGGATAAGGTGCCCGACATGCATTGCTTCGGAAGACGGGCCCCTGCCTGTGTACAGATAAAATGGCTTCTTATTTTCATAGGCGTCAAGGACTTGATTCATATCTCTAAAGGAAAAAGGAGAAAATAAAACTGCGTGATTTTTTTTAAAACAAAGGACTTGATTTTTCAAGAATAATTTTAAATTTATTATTATTATTGTTATTTAATTTGACCAGAGAGAGACAGAGGGAAAGTGAGAAAGAAAGTTTTCAGGTCTAGGACTTGAACCGTGGTAAGCTATGTGGGAGTCCAGCACCTCAGTCACCATGCCACCTGCGGCTCCAAACAGTATGATTTTTAAAATAAAAATATGAAGGCACTGATATTCATTTGGAAATGGAAATAAAGACAGAGGCAAAACAACGTGGATACACACTTGGGTATATCTGTTCAGTGCCTGCAATGTAAGACAACAGGAAGAGTCTCTTGAAGTGGTTTCCCCTGTGAACTCATGATTTGCTAGGTGCAGGGGGAGACGTGCTCCTGAAGAGTGGGCAGGAATTTACAGAGGCTACGGTTTTGAGGACTCATTTTATGGGGTAGGTTCCAGCAAGCGACACTTAGCCAGTGAGGGAGCCCAGACAATGGCACAGCACTTGTGGCTTGGCGGGCAGTATACATCTCATTCAATCCCCAATTTTACAAGTGATAAAATTAGATAGAGGGCGCTCTCAAAATTGAGAAGGGGCAAAAGCCTCAAGTCTTCTGCTTCTCAAGCCAAGAGCCCAGAGGAAGAGAATAAGCAATCAAAGAAAAAGTAAACATGATCAAAACAGCTTTTGTACTTCAAAGGATACTATGAGTAAAGTGAAAAGACAACCTATATAATGGGTGCAAATATTTACAAGTCATATGTTGATAAGAAACCAGGATCCAGAATATATGAGGAACGATATCTCAGCAACAAAAAGATATGTCAGTTAGTAAGTGGGCTGAATAGACATTTTTCCAAAGACAGCCAAAAAGCACATCAACAGATGTCCCGTGTCACCTGTCACCAGGAAACACAAATCCAAACTACGGTGAGATACCACCTTGCATCCACTAGGATGGCTAAAAACAACACAAGCATGGAGACTATAGTATAGAAATGTGAGTGACACAGTCACTGTGGACAGTTGTTCCTCAAAAACACAAGAATCACAACATGAGCCATCAATCCCACTCCCAGGTACACACCCGAGAGAACCCACAACGTATGTCCACCCAGAAACTTGCATACAACTTTGTGGGGCATTACTTTTAATAGCTTATTTCTTCCATGTGGAGAGAGACACAGAGAGAGACAGACAGAGACAATATCCTGACAGGGTTTTGACATTGTACTCCACCTCTGGCTTCAGCTAGCCCTGGACCACGGGTGCCTCCATTTCTGGCTTGCTCAGGAAGGTTGTGGACAGGGACCTGGAAACCTCCTGTGTGGGTCAGCCTCTCAGACCATCGCTTTTTTTCTTTCAGAGGTTTTTGCTATAGCATACCATCACGTTTTAATGTCGTGCCACTGCCCAGTCCCCTTGAGCAGCATCTCTGACGGCCAAAAAATAGAAATAACCCAAATGTCCATCAGCTAATAAATGAATAAACACAATAAGGGGTATAGCCGTTGGATAGAACATTATTTGGTGTTTAAGGTGCTGAACACTCTCACATGGCCAACCATGGTTTGAGTCCCGGGCCTGGGGTCTTGCTTTCTCATGTTCCTTCTCTCTCTCTCTCTCTCTGGTCAAATTAAAATAAATGAATGAATAAATAAAATCAAATAAAAAATTCTTTTTTTTTTAAAAAAAGAACATCATCTGGAAAAAAAAAAAAAGAATTATTGGCATATGCTACAACATAGAGGGAGCTTGGAAACATTACGCTAAGTAAAAGGCAGACACAAAGGCCACATCTGTATAAAATGCCCAGAATGGCAAATCCAGACAGAAAAGAGATTACCGGTGGCCAGTGGGGGGCAGAAGGGAGTGGCCGCTGACGGGCAGGGTGACAAACATGACTAGAATCGGACAGCCGTGACAGCGGCAGAACTTGGTGAACTCACTCTCAGTGAGGGACAGCACTGCTCTACTCCATCCAGGACGTGTGACCTGAGTCTCAGTGAGGAACAGCACTTGGGTTGTAGTCTGCCTAGAGAGCAGGACCAGAGCCTGGTGTTCCCTGCAGGTGGAACCTGAACTCAGGCAGCTGCCGAGTTCTGTCCTGAGCATGCTGTCCCGTAACCATAAAATGTGGGTGGAACAGGGCCCCCCATCTCGGGTTCCACATTCCATGCACACAGCCTCAAAGACAAGTCTGTCCCAATCCAGCTACTCTGGGGTGGAACGTGTCCATTTCTTGATGTTATCTGCATGGGATTTATGGTCTGAGGAAGGAATGTCATTTCGCGTGTACTCTGAGTTTCTCTTTTGACTTATTTATGAGGCTAGCACAATAGGAGGAAGAGGGTACGTCATTTCAGGAAGCCAACCGTTTATGGCGTGGGGAATGTTGAACTTGGACATGCCAATCTCTTTTGTTTCTGTGATGTTTTATGATTTACGGCATAGAATCTGGCAAGAGTCTCATCTGCTATGACCCTGACCTCCACTTTGTGAAGTGGGCAGCCTACAAATGAATAAACTGGGGGCCTGCAGGTGAAGGCAAGGACACTGCCCACAGTAAGGGATGGCCAGGACAGAGGCAGGTCCAGTCTCTGACAAGTAGTCCCCATTTTCCCAAAGGGCCAGGCACCTTGAGAGAAGAGCCACCTCATGGTCATGGAACTAAGACAGGGAGCAAGGATGGTGTGGCGAAGAGCCCTGACCTGTGAGAGAAGAAGATGCCTCTGCGTAGGAAGCGGTGTGGCCTCTGGCCAATGGCTCTTTCTATTCGGTTTATCAGCTCCTTGTCAATTTTGCTGCTTCCGAACCGAACTGGAAAGGAAAATTGGAAGAAAGAACAGATGACCTTCTTTGGTGTCAGGTGGCCTAGCGATCCAGTATTACTGAAGTGGAGAAGCTACTGACCACGCTCAGGAACCCAAACCACCCTTGGCCTCCTGCTAGGGGGCCTTTTCCCCAGCACAGGTTAAAGTCTTTTGGGTTCACACGACAGCTGAGATCACAGTCACCAAAACAGAAGAGAAATTACAGAACACAATGCTGTTTTCAGGGTCAGCAGGTGGTGTAGTGGTTGTGTCCCTGGACTCCTACCATGGACAACTGCAGTTCAAGACCCAGACCTGGTGGCTTAAAACTCATGCTGGGCATGTGTGCATGTGTACCCAAGACCCCAGGAGAATAGAGAAGAAGGGATTGTGTGGCCATCACCCCGGAGGGCGATTTCTCACTTTCTCTCACTATCTCTGTTTCTCTCCCCCTGGTGAGCACATACACCTTATGGCAAAATCCTTAAAACAAACAAACAAAAAAATAAAATACTGTTTTGCTCGAGACTGGACATGGACAGAAAACATCCAGAATATGTAGTACAGCCAGCAACTTTATAAAATAATTTTTTTAATTTAATTTTTTTTAAAGGTTTTTGCCAAAGGGTGCCTGCACTTGCCAGAGACAGAGGGAAACTGAGAAATCAACCCCAGAGGATGGCCACAACGCAATCCCTTTTCCTCCATTCTCCTCTTTGGATGTTGGGCATGTATGCACACATGCCTGGTGTGATTTTCAAGCCACTGGGTCCAGGATTCAAACAGTGGTCGGTCATGTGGGAACACATGCCTTAACCACCACAACACCTGCTGGCCCAACAATTTTTTTTTTTTAAGTTTTTATTTAGTATGCTATTAGTTGCATGTAATCACCAGAGACAGGCAGAGAGAGAAAAAGTAAGAAATCACCCCCCAGAGGAGATAGTCATGCTACAATTCCCTCTCCTCCATTCTTCTCTCTGGATTTTAGGCACGTATGCACATGTATCTGGCATGTTATTCAAGCTGCTGGGTCTGGGACTTGAACCACATAATTGGTTCTGTGGGATCCAATTGCCTTAACCACGCCACCAGCTGGTTCCAGCCAGCAACTTTTGACCATGCTCCCCCAACAGTTATTTATTAAGGTATAATTATATTTACTGAAAATCATGACTTTTCATACTCTATAACTGTTGAACTGAGTTACTGTCTTCAAGTGAATTTTCTCTCACCAATGTTTATACTCAAATCATGGAAAATGGCTTTGACTGAGATAAAAACATCTCGGCTGTGTCTTCTGTGACGGTCAGAGACTCAGCATCAGGAGTCCTGGGTCGGGGCAACGTTCTTTCCTGAGCGGGAAGACCTGAACCACCACGCCACATGCCAGTTCCTGGACCATTATTATTTTTTAATTTTTATGGAGAGTTTTTTTTTTTTTTTTTTTTTGCTCTAGGGCGCGTGCGCTCGCCAGAAAGACAGAGAGAGACAGAGAGACAGAAAGCGAGAAATCACCCCCCCGGGGGGATGGCCACGCCGCAATCCCTTCTCCTCCATTCTCCTCTCGGGATCTTGGGCACACACACGCGCCCGGTGTGAGTTTAAGCCAACAGGTCCGGGACTCGAACTGCGGTTGACTACGTGGGAGTCCAGCAACATAGCCATTACGCTAACTGCTGGTCCCATGGACCATTATTTTGAAATAAGTTTTACGTTATTTTATTTTAAAACGATCTTTTGAGAATAGAATACACAATCAAAAGATTCTAGGACCCGTTTTTTCTATTGCAGCTGCCTTCGATCTATGATTGATGTAAAATGCACGAATGTCAGTGGACTCAATGGTAAAAGTTGAGGCTTTTCCTGGGTTAGAAAGCAGAGGACGCACCGATGAGCTTGTCATAGTCGATGCCTTTTGCACTGCTCGTCTGTACGGTCCACGGGTCCACAAAATCCTCCTCAGCCTCTGTGGCATCTGGACCACTGTTACTCTGCAGCGCTGGGTTCGCTGGAGGGCGGTCAGGCTTGTAATCCTCCCCCATGGCATCTTTGTAGCTCATTTTCAGTGACAGCAACATCTTCACTGCAGAATCAATTTCATCCTGACGTAAGGAAATAAAGGTGAAGGCTAAAATAGGAACGTAACAGTAGCTAATGTTTGCAGAATGCCTGATATTATTATCATTTTCAGCTTTGCTATAGGCACATGTGCTCTCTGGAGAGAGACAGAGAGAAGACAAGAGAGGAAACATCCCCTATAGGGGATGGCCACAGCAGTCCTTCTTCCTCCATTCTCCTTTCGAGATTTTGGGCATGCACACACATGCATGTTTAATGACCAATTCCAGCTAACTTCCTGATGTGCAATGCAGACCATCCTAGGATAACGGTCCTCCATGGCCAAGTGCTGTGCCTGCTGCAGTAGGCACTTGTGTTTTTCAAGCCGCCAGGTTCGAGACTCAAACCTCACAGTCAGCTCTGTGGGATCTAGCCACCTTAACCACCATGCCACCTGCTGGCCTTGAATGCCTATCCTTAGCAGGCACTATGCTGAATCCCCCAAACACGGGACCTTGTATGGTCTCACAACAAGCTGAGGGCGCAGTCGTTATTGTCACTGGCCTGCTCCAGCTGAAGCGTTAGAGGAACAGGAGGTAAGGGAGCTAGCCTACGGTGCACAGCCAGCCAGGAGCTCCAGGGGATGCTCTTTTCATCTGTTACTCGATTGCTAAGGGTTGCTACCACACACCATGGGACGGCAGTGACACGACATACGCTGTGGTTACGACAAAGCTAATGTGCTACAGACTTCTCTTTCAGGTAAGTAAGTTGCCATAGGGCTGTGTGCGTGACAGAAAGTGCTAGAGAACACCCCCATGGGGTGTGGTCACGCTGCAAGCCCTTTTCCATTTCTCCATCCTGTTGGGATCTGAGGCACGCACACACGTGTCTGGAGTCTTTTTCTAGGAACCGGGGCTAGATTTGAACCATAGTTGGCCATGTGGAATGAGGCTTTCTTTAACCCCAGGCTACAAGGCTGGACCACTAGAGATTTCTCAAATGTCATCGATGCCAGAGAATACGCATGACAAGCTCCTTTAATCAAGGATAGTCTACACTGGAGCCTACTTCAACATTTCACGCAGGTTAAGATGAATACTTATGGACACTTAACCAACGTGGCCTCTACGGCAGCGACAGCAACCTGAACAGATATCGTGAAAACGGATACGAGGGGAAAGGTAGGCTCAGGGTGTAACAGAGCAATTCACTGGGAAATAGCTACAGCACGACACTTTGGGGTCCCGTCCTGGTTATCTGAGTTTAGTATACTTATTGCTTCCAAATAAACATAAGGAACCATGGAAAACGCATCCTTGGTACTTTGAGAATCCATAAAGACCTCTTCCAGAAGCCCAGACTGGCAGCCCTTGGAAGCCTGGTATTTCAAGAACAAGCCTAATTAAGCCAATCAGTCATGCTATGCTTTAAAGCTCTCCTCCAGTCATTGGCCCTGCTGGATTAGATCATAAAAGAAACTACGCATAGCCCAACGTGTTTGCTAATGGCAATGCAAACATTCCCACTTTGCTTATACAGGATGTGCTAAAACTGGACTTCTCAGCAGAGAACGGTCTCCTGGAGAGCTACTGCAGCAGGCACAGCACTTGGCCACGGAGGACCGTTATCCTAGGATGGTCTGCATTTCACATCAGGAAGTTAGCTGGAATTGGTCATTAAACACAAGTTAGACTGGGCCAGCAGGTGGTGTGGAGGTTAAGGCACCTGAGTCACATGTGGGCAACTGCATAGTTTGAGCCCTGAACCCAGCAGCTTGAAAAACACACTGGACATGTATGCCTAAGAGACCAGCTGATGGTGTAATGGTTACATCGCTGGACTCCCATTCAGTCGACTGTGGTTCTAGTCCTGAACCAGGCAGCTTAAAATTCACGCCAGGTGGGTGTGCACGTATGCCTAATATCCCAAGAATGACCATCCTCCCTGGAGGTATGATTTATTGTTTTCTTTCTCTCCGGCAAGTGCATCCATAGCAAAAATCTCTCTTTAAAGAAAAAAAAAAAGAGAGAGAGAATCAGACATGCCTGTATCCATGCCCAAAATCCCAAGAAGAGAAGAAAATGGAGGAGAAGGGACTACAGAATGCCTTCGCCCTGAGGGCGATAGCTCACTAGCTTCATCTTGCTCTCTGTCTTTCTCTCTTGGGCAAGCACACACGCCTTAGAGTAAAAAAACAAAACAATAAGCCCATGGACACAACTCACATAAGAGGTAAGATGGCTGGGAGGCCAGCATGTGCTGTGGAGGTTAAGGCACTGGATCCCACAAGGCCAACTGCATGGTTCGAGTCCCATACCCAGCAGATTAAAAATCACACCGGGCATGTGTGCCCAAAACCCCAAAGAGAGAAATGAAGAGGAGATCATGGAGTGACCATTTCCCATGGGGGAGGGAGGTGGTGCATTTCTACCTCCCCTACACATGCTGTGTGGCAAAAAACCAACCAACCAAACAAAAAAACAAAACAAAAAACCCCACAAAAACAAGAATGGAAACTTTAATCAGAAATAAAAAAGAACAAAGAGAAATGGAAAACAGAAATTAAAAAAATTAAAAAATGAGAGGAATAGTCTCCAAATTAAAAAAAACCCTGTAAAGATAGAAGAGAGAAAAGAGATTTAAAAAATGGTACGATTTCTGAAAACCAAACATTCTGAGTGTCCAGTGGGAAAGGAGCACTGTCTCTACCCCGAGGCGTTTCCAAATATGGGGACAAAGTGAAGACCCTGCTGACTTCCAGAGGAGACAAAGTGAGGGCATCTGACTCCACGGCGACCCTAGAGGACAGGAGCAGGCGCGGGTGGGGCAGCGGCTTCCAAATCCAAGGGAACACCACTTCTGCCCGGAGCTCTCTACCGGCCCAGCTACCCATCACACTGTAGGTAAAGCAAATGTACTTCTAGACACGTAAGAACTCAAAATATTATCTTCTCTGCACAGTTTTTTTCAGAGACCTTTGGAAGATTTGCTCTAGTAAAATAAAGTGAAGGAAGGAGGGCCAAGACACAGGATCAGGAAACGGGGCCTACAGATGGAGGAGAAGGGAACTGCCAGGTAGACAGTGAAGACCTCGAGGTGGGTGGTGTGGGAGGCGAGTCACGCAGGGGGAAGCAGGCAGAAGGTCCCAGAGACCTCCCCCAGAGGGTGAACCTGCAGGACAGATTGACTGATGTGAGTGTGGGGGGGGATGTTCAGCCACGCCCTGAAATATATTATCTTCAGGACATGAAAAAGCCAAGCAAACAGAAAGTAAGACAAATATTAACTCCAGAGAAAACAAAAGCTGGGCGGGACAGGGGAGCTGTGCTGTACTTGGTGTTCAGCTGTCAGGGGTGTTTACACAGTCACGGTAATGTTAATACAGCAGCCCCTTACCCACGGCTTCCCTCTCTATGGTTTCAGTGACTGGAGGTCAGCCTCGGTCTGAAAGCAGATGAGTACGGTATGAGAAGGTATTCTGAGAGTGGGTGAGAGTCACACAGCGTTTCCTACGGTCTAACTGTTTAATTTTATTGTAAATCTTGTTAATTTCCTACTGTGCCTACCGTATGAACTAAGCTTGTCACAGGAATGTACGTCTGGGAAGAACCAGAGCAGGTAGAGGGCTCGGGACTGTCCTCAGTTTCAGGCACCCATGGGGTGGAACACACCCTCCTGGGTAAAAGGCGTGCTACCATGCTGACGCTGACTTGACCACAGCTGCAGGAGGCTGAGGGGTGAGTGTCTGTCAGTGCAAATTCTTCACCTCCACCACGAGGACCTTCACCGTAACACCAACATGAAGCAGTGTAACAAGCATGCTGGTCAGAGACATGGGCGTGCCAGGCAGGTGGCATGGTGGTTGAGGGCGCTGGACTCCCACATAGTCAACTGCGGTTCGAGTCCTGGACCTGGTGGCTTGCTTTCTCACTTTCCCTCTCTCTCTTTCTCTCACACTCTGTCCCTCTCTGGTCAAATTAAAATAAGTAAACTCCAGAGAAAACAAAAGCTGGGCGGGACAGGGGAGCTGTGCTGTACTTGGTGTTCAGCTGTCAGGGGTGTTTACACAGTCACGGTAATGTTAATACAGCAGCCCCTTACCCACGGCTTCCCTCTCTATGGTTTCAGTGACTGGAGGTCAGCCTCGGTCTGAAAGCAGATGAGTACGGTATGAGAAGGTATTCTGAGAGTGGGTGAGAGTCACACAGCGTTTCCTACGGTCTAACTGTTTAATTTTATTGTAAATCTTGTTAATTTCCTACTGTGCCTACCGTATGAACTAAGCTTGTCACAGGAATGTACGTCTGGGAAGAACCAGAGCAGGTAGAGGGCTCGGGACTGTCCTCAGTTTCAGGCACCCATGGGGTGGAACACACCCTCCTGGGTAAAAGGCGTGCTACCATGCTGACGCTGACTTGACCACAGCTGCAGGAGGCTGAGGGGTGAGTGTCTGTCAGTGCAAATTCTTCACCTCCACCACGAGGACCTTCACCGTAACACCAACATGAAGCAGTGTAACAAGCATGCTGGTCAGAGACATGGGCGTGCCAGGCAGGTGGCATGGTGGTTGAGGGCGCTGGACTCCCACATAGTCAACTGCGGTTCGAGTCCTGGACCTGGTGGCTTGCTTTCTCACTTTCCCTCTCTCTCTTTCTCTCACACTCTGTCCCTCTCTGGTCAAATTAAAATAAGTAAATAAAGTTAAATGAAAAAATTCTTAAAAAAAGAAGAATCAGCTCAAAGAACTGAAAACATCTCTGCTGGGGTGGGCTGGAGGCTGCTGAGATTTACAAGGACTCTGAGGGCACGAACTTTCCAGACCACGGGCACCGGAGTGCTGACACGGAGAGGAGCGCATTTCTAGTCACAACTGAACCCCCTCAGAGGGCGGGGCAGGGTCCGGGGCACAGCCTGCTCCAGGGGAGCACACCACGGATGGGGAGCACACCACGGATGGGGAACACGACCAAACCGTGTACCTTTGGCGCCTTCTCGGCTTTGAGGGCCCTCACGTGCTCCCCTTGAGCAGCTATGCTGTTGAACAGCTCCAGCGGGGAGGGACGGGGCTTGAGGTCGAGCACGTCCACCATCTTCCAGGACCTGGGTTCACAGCTGGCTGGGGCGTCAGGGGATGTCCAGGGGTCGGGACAAGACTGTGTGGGGTGAAAAAGAGAAGAGAGATTAGCAAATCACTGCCTGTTTTCCATTCTTGTAGTTCGTCTTTTCTTCTGGACAGGCTGTGAGGTGAGTTCTAATAAAGAATATGGATAATGTAACATTAATAAAAATATGAGCAGCAATTTGGAGCCACGACAGAGAGGAAGAACGGAAGAGCAAATGCTGGTGATGGGGACGAATGGTGTATCTAAGATTTCCCAACTGGAGGTCTGCAGAGGATCCCTCCTAGCGAGAACAGGTGTGTGCCAAGCGGATGGCCCCTGTCCCTCCTCAGTGCTACCACCCAGGAGGGCCAGTGTTTGCTCAGGGAATAAATACTGATGCGCTTATGAAATATCGGCTCACTACAACGACAAACGTTTTGGAAAGAGCTATTTGCTCTTTATCTTAGTTGCCTTGGAGAAGATTCTCAGGCCTCAGTGGCCACAATGGCATCCACTGCTGCTCAGCTGGTCTGCCGTGATGAAGCCAGCTCCGGGCGGATGTGGAGCCTTGTATGTTCCAGGCCCCTAACGAGGCACAGACCCACCCCTGTGCTGCCTCATTAACTGCAGATCCTCGAAGACAGAAGGTACCTTTCATCAGTCTCTATTTACTGTTTACCTGGAAAAACGTGGGCCCAGGGCAGGCAGAGACGTGCCATCCACAGTACCTTTTGAGGCTGGTCACGTCCCCTGAGTGTCAGTTTCCTAAGCTATAAAATGGTGCCACTGGAACCTCTTATAAAAACAATATGGGGCTGGCCAGTGGCGTGGTGGTTGAGGGCACTGGACTCCCATATATGGTCGACTTAAGGTTCGAGTCCCAGACCTGGTGGCTTGTTTTCTCACTTTCTCTCTCTTTCTCTCTCCCTCTCTGGTTAAAATAAAAATAAAATAAAATAAAGTTAAATGAAGTAATTATATATAAAAAAGAAAACAGTAAGAAACTCCAACACGGTAGCATTTTGTCAGCTGTAAGCAAGATGTAAAGCCCTCCTGGGTGTCATGAAGTTTGGTTCTGTCGTCAGGGCTCCAGAGTGCCTCTAACCTCCACCTTCATCCTCGTTTGCTGTGATACTTGGAGGACGAAGCTGGTGGCAGCTGCTATGTTGCGACTTCTGTACCTGGTGTTGCTCGAAGCACCTTAACCACATAACTCACTGAAGCCTACAGCAAAGCTGAGATAGCTCTGCCAGCTCCGTTTCACAGATGAGGCACAGAGGGGTTAGGCCACTGCACCAGATAGCACAGCAAGTGCATGGAAGGGACGGGACACAAAGTCCAGCATAGCCACATGCCACACGACGACTGTTCAGTTGACAGCTGGCTGCGTATACAGAGGTGGGCCCGCAGGACTGTGAGGGGCCGCCCTGTCCAGTCTGGTGGCGCGAGGCTCTGCCATTAGGCATGTGGAAGTCCACTCTGTGATCTCGCACAGGATGAAACCGCCCGGCCACATGGCTGAGCGACAGTGACGGTGGTTTGAGCCGGCACGTTATACTGTTATCCTCCAAATGGACCAACGCACACGTTCAGGTGTCATGTATTCTTACGATCCATCTGTTAAAAAGCGTACAAATTTGAACTAAACCACTCTGTACATCACCGAAAGCAGGATGGGACGGCAGCCACTTTCTCTGCCTGCTTTGCTGAGAACCACCTCAATTCCCAGAAAGGAAAGTATGATGAGGTAACTGACTTAGATAACGGAGTACCCAGTTTACAAAGAGGGCAGGGATGTGGAAGTACCTTCTGCCTAAGGCTAGACCCACTTCTCTCTGGGGTCTCGGCCCACATCAAATAACAATCGAAGGAGCAAAGATTACTTCCAGACACCAAGGGCCACACATCGTGGCAGATATCTCACAGGGAACCCCCAGTCCCCCCAGCCTCCGGTGGGGTGTCTGCTGGCCCTGCGTGTGCAGGCACGAGACTGGAGGCTGAGGGACGGCAGAACAGCCCCGCTGGGTTCCAGCACCACCAAGCAGCTGAGTCAGGATCCCATGCCATCGTGTTCCCCTATGATCGTGAGCTCTGAATCCCAGCTGCTCTCTGCCTGGACACTGCTGAACAGCTCCCCGACTCTACCCGGAGCTGTTGGTTACAGCCTTTCCCAACGCCTGTGCCGACGGCCAAGCTGGTCACTTGGGCCTCTTGGTAACTTTATTTGAGCAACACCCACTCACGTGAGTTACTCTTGTCTCCTCAGCAGCCTGGGAGCGACTCTGAGAGTATTCCCAGTCTTCTATTGAATAGTACCTGCTAGGAAGGCTGTCAACGGTCACCGACCGTCTCCTAAGCCGTCCAGTTCAACTGCTCCTCAGGTTTGCATCCCTCTGAAGCATCTTTACACATGCTTTTCTCCCATCTGGACTTCAGGCAGCCTCTACTTAATGTCCTGACACTGAGCTGGGCCTTTCAAGATTTGGGGAGAACCAGGCTGGTCTCCTGGGGTCTCCTATCCCCAGACTGCTTTTACACCACTGCTGACATCTGTCCACCATCCTGGTCCCTCTTTCTGAGAGTCCCCTCGGTTTACCTTGTCTTTCTGAAAAAGGGGTGCTCTGTTCGGAAGACAAAAGGCAGTGAAGTGAGCGTCTGAAGTCTGGAGGAGGTCCAGGTCATGTACAGACTAAAGTGAGCCTGAAAATTCCTCGGGAAGTGCCAGGTGACGCCTGCGGGAGCCTGGGATGCCAGTCTCCACTGCGACATAGATGATATGCTGCGATATGCTGCTCTGCCAGAGGGTGACCGCAGGGACTGGGTCACGTTGCAGGGAAACTCATGTATCTTTAATACCAGAATCCCATTAAGAGGCATATGGGAACTAAACCAGATGGAGGGAACTGCAGAGGAGCTCTCCCTGTTCTCGTTTCACAAGGTGGTCACTCACTGCGAGGGAGCCACATCATTCCAATCCTGTGTGTGCATGTGTGTGTGTGCAATTTCCTGAGTAGTCAGAGAGAACTAACTGACATTAATTATATATATATATAATGCACAGCACCCTAGCCCTAGGAGAGACAATCCCTTAGCCCCTAAACCGAGATTTTTAACACTTTGGTAAAAGGCTGGTAAAAACACTAACAAGCTCTAAGCTTAGCAAAGATGGTATACATACCCAGGTTGTGGGAGACACTGCAGAGGTGGCCGCCGGTTACGCTGGGCAGACGAGAGGGTCCTGCCCAGTCAGAAGTGGTCTTAAATACTCCTCCCTGCTTTATTTCAGTTTCCTTGTCAAAAAAGGCTCTTCTTTTCCATTCCTGTTTATCCTGCCCTTCAGTGATATGCAAGTAGGGAATTCTTAGAAGTCCCCAGATTCTGGGAAGCACTTGAGCCTCCTGACCCACCTCCTTCACTGGACTGTCCAACCAGGGGCAGGGGGGACCCGGTGGAGATCAGTGAAACACCCTCTCAGAAACAGTGATTCGCTGGTCATTGCATCAGCCGTCCCTTAGCCCAGGCTGGCCTCCCTATAACGTCCCCGCCCTCTTGCCATTCCCCACCACGGCGTCCGTGTGACTGTGATTATCTGTGGTCGTGGGGCGGGAGGGGGTGCAGGAAGGGCGGACTGTAAATTCTCTGCGGCAGTTCCCAGAGGCGGCGCAGTGCTGGGAAGATCCTGAGTTTTGGGGTCAGAGAGACCTGGGTTTCAACCCCAGCATGGGCATTCTCTTGCTCTGAAACCTCGGGCAAGTCACGTTATTTCCCTGCTCCTTCCTCATCTGTGAAATGGACATAAAGAAGTCTCCTAACCTTACGGAGGAGGGGACTAAGTGCGACACCGTAGGCAAAGCCCCGGACGCACTGCAGGCACTAGATTAAAATGGGGGCCCTTCTCCTTGGGAAAAGAAACGGGAGTCGCGTGGGCCGGGCTTGGGGCCGAGCAGGTCCGCGGCGCTCGGAGTAAAGGGCAATGCGGACCGTGGCAGCCTCCGCACCCCTCGTGGTGCCACGACCCGATGGGCAGCGGGCCGCGCTGAGGTGGCACGAGGGCAGCACCGGGGGGCCAGGACGCCTGGCACTGCCCCGGCGTGCCCCTCCTGCTCTCACCTCCTCGCCTCAGCCTCCCTCCACTGACTTACCCTGCCGGCCCGTCACCGCAGCAGGCTCAGCCACCGGTCCCCTCCTGGGCGTCCGTGGAAACGCCGTCCGGCTGGAACAACTTCCGGCATAACTGCGCCACCATTGGCTGTTCGCGCGGAGGCGGGGCAGAGGCCTCCGCTGATTGGCCGGACGCCCCGGCACCGCGGCGGAACGCGGCTGAGCGGTGGCGTGCAAGCCTGCCGGCCTCCCGGACAACCGGGAGCTTCCGGTTCGTGTGGTGAGCAGCGGGCCCTGGGCGGGAGAGGGCCGGGACTGGTGGTACCCCGAGAGATCGGCGCATGTCAACGCGGGGCTTTCCCCGCTGCTCGGCTTTATTTCCCATTTCTTCCGAAAGCGCAGTATTCTATACCGCCCTCACCTGTTGAGAGCTTGGCTAACTCCTATTCATCCTTCAAAACCCACCTCTGGTCGTCCCTGCCTTCATCAGTCTATGGTGTCTGGGGCAGGACTGGTGTTTTGCGTTTATCTCTGCCCAGGCCAGACCCAGCACAGGGCTTGAACAGAGTAGCTAATCAGGACATGCTTGTCGAAGGAGAATACACTTTCATTCACTTCCTCTTACGGTCTTTCACAGATTGCCTTCCACAAGTGTTCCTAGCCGGCTGGGGTAGGCTAGTGAGCAGGGCACAGAGGCCCGTGTTCCTGGGCGGAGGGGTGGCGCTGTCAGCGCTGTCAGCCCCAGGCCCTGCCGCAGTCTCTCCAGGCCTGCACCTGTTCTCCCCCTGATGTTCTTGTCCTGTAGTTCCATCACTCCCCTCTTCCCACCAGCAATTTCCTTCTTTTTTCTTTTCCTAAAAGCTTGTTCCCGTCAGCTCCCAGTCATCTCCGTTTTTGTGTTTTCTTTGAGTCATCCTTGACTCTTCCCTCACCACATGTGATAGGTTCTCTTGGTTGGGTTTTCAGCGCCTCTCCTCACCTCTGCTGCCTCACCTCCTGCGGGCATTGCCGACATGTGACCTTCTCGAGGCCTGCCTCTGCCTCTGTGGGAGCTGCAGCCCGAGCCCACCTTTGTGCCTGCCTCTGTTTCACTTCTCAGTGGGTCTCACCCCGCTGTCTGTTTCACTGGACAACGTCTGTCTCTCTCCCCTGCACGTGAGCGTGGCGGGCCTGGGCGTCGGTGCTATTCTGCTGCTTGTGGTGTCCCTGCTGCTGGTGTGGCTGGGCCAGTGGTGGTGCTCCATCGGTGTTCGGTGAATGACCGAATGAGATGTGCATGAAGCCGAGTGTCAGGAGCTTCATCGTCTGCTCGCTTGTATCCACTCAGTGTGCCTGGCCATGTCAGAGTGGGGCTAGCGGCCGCTCTGCTCTCTGACCTTCGGCCTTGGGCCTCTCCTGGGAGTCGGCCACCAGGAATGACTGGGTGGGTGGGAATCCATCGCAGTGGTGAGCGAGGGCACCCTGGCGGTGGGAACCTGGTGGAGTCCCCTGGTAGGAAGGAGTGGGTGCCGGGCACAGGGGTTGAGATGGGCCCGGGACCAGGCCGATTAGGGAACAGAAGTCCCTCGAGGTCACCGTTTCCTTAGTTACAGGCAGTCTGCGTATAGTGGTGCTCGTTTCAGATGGGCTGCTGGCTCTTAGGGGTTCTGTTTGGACTCTGGCTTCGCACATGGGGTTGTTTCCTGCCTGGACTGGACCGAGCAGAGAGCAGCATTACAGGAGGGGGTGGCTGCAGACCTGTATTGACCAGTGAGCTGAGCCGTCTGCAGTGAAGCCCTTCAGGCAAATGATGCCATTTGGGAGAAGTGGGGAAGCGGTTGGGTGGATGGTTCCTAGGGACAGGAACGCACTGTCTAGGGGAAGAGGTGGGTGATAGGCAGGCCCCCACTTTGTTCTGCAGCGGCTTCACAAAGGACCTGGGGAGAATGATTGCTTGCTGACCCCTCAGCTGAGGGAGGGGCCCAGCGTGGTTTATCGAGGTGGGGCACCCGAGCTTTCAGTTCTGCTCCACCATGCCCTTGCTGTCTGGGTGTGCCCGGCATCCTTGTCCTCTTCATTGTACCTGGTATTCAAAGCCAGAGAGAAAGAGCGGGAGAGAGAGAGCGTGGTGAGACATCACCTCCTTCTCCATCATTCTCCTCTTGAGATTTTGGGCACACGTGTACATGTGCCTGGCATGTTCCCCAACTCCTGGATCTGAGGCTTGACCACACAGTCAGCTATGTGGAATCCAGGCACCTTACCACCATGCAACTGGCTAGCCCCAGGAAGCATTTTTAATTTTGTCAATTTTAAATGAAAAGAAATTAATTAATTAATAATTTAAAAAATTTGCTGTAGGGTACATATGCTTACCAGAGAGAGAGAGAGAGAGAGAGAGAGAGAGAGAGAGAGAGAGAAAGTGAGAAAGCACCTTGCCCTTTCCCTGGGAGGATGGCCATGCCACAATCCCTTCTCCTCTTGAGATTTTGGGTACATGTGTACCAGCATTTTCTTCATGCTGCTAAGTCGGGAACTCAAACTGTGCAGTTAACCATGTGGCATCCAGCCCCCTTAACCACCATGCCATCAGCTGACCCTAATTTTATCCTTTAAAAGTATTTATTTCTTGGGACCAGCAGGTGGCATAATGGCTATGTTGCTGGACTCCCATGTAGTCAACCGTGGTTCGGGTCCCGGACCCGATGGCTTAAATTCACGCTGGGTGCATGTGTGTGCATGCCCAAGATCCTGAGAGGAGAATGGAGGAGAAGGGATTGTGGCGTGGCCATCCCCTTTGGGGGGGTGATTTCTCGCTTTCTGTCTCTCTGTCTCTCTCTGTCTTTCTGGCGAGCTCACGCACCCTATAGCAAAAGCCTCTCCAAAAAAAAAATTTCTTTCTTTCATGAGCCAGAGAAAGAGAGAGAGAAAGACAGCCTTCCCCTCCCAATACACACAGGCTCTCTGTGCTGCGACCTACCCCTCGGCCTTGGCTGACCTGGATCATGTACCCGAGAGTTCTCCAAATGTGAACCCAGAACCTCCCTCCCCTTCTGGATCAGCTTGTGCATTTTACCACTGTGCCACTGTCTGGTCCCTGGAGGAATTTTTAAGGTGGAAGTTCACAGGTGTGTGAATCCGTGCACCTGGGGTGAAACAGCTGATCCTCCTCACCTCCTGGGCATTGTGCCTACCGTAGTCGGGTGGGCCTGTCTGCCTGGCTTACTGTCGACATGGCTGTCTGGGAAGAGTGCTTTAGGCAGCGAGGAGAGAAGGAAGGGCTGGAGCAAGAGAGAGGCAGGGGGGAGGGATGCGTTTGCTCCTTGGTACATTCTGGACATCTTTCCATTTCCGGATTTTCAGACCTAATCTCATGCATGTCGGCGAGTGTATGTTCTCATTTGTTGCTAATGAACAGTGCCGAAGGCTTTCTTTGCCTGTCTTTGTAGATGTATGCCTTCAGCAAACCTCTGCTGGGGTTCGTGCAGGGTAGAGTTCTGAAGGTGGTGTCGGGGGAGGACTGTCTTTAAACTTGTACTTCATACCGCCAACATCGGCCTTCCGAAAAGATTCCACAAACCTCAGTCAGTGGGTCTCTCTAGGCTTCTCTCTCTCTTTCTTTCTCTCTCTTTCTTTTTTCTTTTTTTTTTGGCCACAGAGTCTTTCTCCTTCACTGGAGAGAGACGGTGACAGGGAAAGTGAGAAAATCACCCCCCTGGGGGTAGCCACACCACAGTCCCTTCTTTCGGGATTTTGGACACACATATGCATACACACGTGCCTGGAGTGATTTCAAGCCACCAGGCCCAGGATTCAAATCACGACAGACCATGTAGGAGTCTAGCACCTTAACCACCATGCTACCTGCTGACTGCTCTAGGTCTTCTTTGATATTCTTCAGTAAAACGATTAGTTTTTAAATGCAGGTTTGCTTATTTTTTGTAGATCGATTGCCAGGTATTCCATCTTCATTTTCTTCTGACTTTATGAAAATGAGATGGACAGACAGGTAAAGGTGTTTGTGCCAGGGTTTCCCATGTCATGGCTAGCCAGGATTGCAGGCATGTGCGGCCATGCTTGGCATATTCAGATTGATCTGGACACCCAACCTTGGTCTACCATATGGCTTCCAGCCTCCCAAGCAGTGGGCTGCAGTCTTCAATTTTTTTTTTTTTTAGAGGTTTTTGCTATAGGGCGTGTGTGCTCGCCAGAAAGACAGAGAGAGACAGAGAGACAGAAAGCAAGAAATCACCCCCAGGGGGGATGGCCACGCTGCAATCCCTTCTCCTCCATTCTCCTCTCGGGATCTTGGGCACGCATGCACACGTGCCCAGCATGAGTTTAAGCCACTGGGTTCAGTACTCGAACCATGGTCGGCTACATGGGAGTCCAGCGACATAGCCATTACCCTAACTGCTGGTCCCTGCAGTCTTCATTTTTAAAATGATGTCTAACTATGGCTATGTGAAGAAAAGCTCTTTTACTCCCTAAATTACTCATGCTAAAGCTCATGTGCCAGAGAGCGATGGGCACCCCTGCGGGACTCAGTCATGCCACGACCCCCATCCTGCAGTCTGCTAGGATCCTTCACTGACGCCTTTCCAGGCCGACGAGGCTGGAGACTCGGACCACGGTTGGCCTGCCGGCTCTGCTCCGACTATGCATGCCATAGAGGCCAGGCCGGGTCTTGTCTTTTAATGGCTTTTTTATGACTCTAAGTCTTACTTTCCTAGCTGACGCGTTTTCCTTGAGCTGGGTAAATACGCTCCCGTGCACATTTTCTGACTTGGCTTTGTTTGGTTTCAGGTCGTTCTCCCCGAAGGACAGCCAGGAACTGTCCTCCATGGCTTCGTTGGTGGCGTACGAGGATTCCGACTCAGAGGCCGAGCCTGAGCCTGGGGTGAGCTTTCACGCCGCTGGCCCAAGGAATGCCCCTCCTGGCGGGGCCAGACCTCCTGGGCAGGATTTTGCCTCTGGTATACTGGATGTGACCAAAGGGGGGACCCAGGCCACAAAGTGTGGTTCTTGTGAAAGTGCCACAGGCCGCTGCCTCCTGCTGGCTCCGCTCGGGAGCAGTGATCCAGGGTCTTATCCCAGCCAGAGGCTGCAGTGGCCCAGATATGACCCCCAAACCTGGGTCTCCCATATGGCTTCCAGCCTCCCAAGCAGTGGGCTGCAGTCTTCAATTTTTTTTTTTTTTAGAGGTTTTTGCTATAGGGCGTGTGTGCTCGCCAGAAAGACAGAGAGAGACAGAGAGACAGAAAGCAAGAAATCACCCCCAGGGGGGATGGCCACGCTGCAATCCCTTCTCCTCCATTCTCCTCTCGGGATCTTGGGCACGCATGCACACGTGCCCAGCATGAGTTTAAGCCACTGGGTTCAGTACTCGAACCATGGTCGGCTACATGGGAGTCCAGCGACATAGCCATTACCCTAACTGCTGGTCCCTGCAGTCTTCATTTTTAAAATGATGTCTAACTATGGCTATGTGAAGAAAAGCTCTTTTACTCCCTAAATTACTCATGCTAAAGCTCATGTGCCAGAGAGCGATGGGCACCCCTGCGGGACTCAGTCATGCCACGACCCCCATCCTGCAGTCTGCTAGGATCCTTCACTGACGCCTTTCCAGGCCGACGAGGCTGGAGACTCGGACCACGGTTGGCCTGCCGGCTCTGCTCCGACTATGCATGCCATAGAGGCCAGGCCGGGTCTTGTCTTTTAATGGCTTTTTTATGACTCTAAGTCTTACTTTCCTAGCTGACGCGTTTTCCTTGAGCTGGGTAAATACGCTCCCGTGCACATTTTCTGACTTGGCTTTGTTTGGTTTCAGGTCGTTCTCCCCGAAGGACAGCCAGGAACTGTCCTCCATGGCTTCGTTGGTGGCGTACGAGGATTCCGACTCAGAGGCCGAGCCTGAGCCTGGGGTGAGCTTTCACGCCGCTGGCCCAAGGAATGCCCCTCCTGGCGGGGCCAGACCTCCTGGGCAGGATTTTGCCTCTGGTATACTGGATGTGACCAAAGGGGGGACCCAGGCCACAAAGTGTGGTTCTTGTGAAAGTGCCACAGGCCGCTGCCTCCTGCTGGCTCCGCTCGGGAGCAGTGATCCAGGGTCTTATCCCAGCCAGAGGCTGCAGTGGCCCAGCCAGGAGCCAGAAGCCACTTACCCCACCAGCGGACCTTCTCGTCCTTTGTGGACAACCCATGCTCCAGCCAGCCATGTGCCCCTGGCAGCTGCCCGCTTGCAGCGAGTAAAACCCTCCTGGGACTCCCCCAAGTCATCTTTCTACACTCAAAGCGAGTGTGAAGCCATAGGCAGTAACATCAACTCTTTTCCGAGGAAGCGAAGCGAAGAGTGCGTCATACCGTATACCCCCAAAAGACTGAGGCAGCTGCAGGCCCCCAGCTCTGTGGAGCCGCAGGGCCCCGCTGCAGGGCCCACCCCCGCTCCAGCCCCGCTCTCTGTGGCCCCCACAGTATCCGAGTTCATCAAGCCCTATTTGGACAGTCAGTACAAAGAAACCAAGGTCCCCAGGAGGGTGCGTTTCCACCTGCAGGGCCACAGGGGCCCCGTCAACAACGTTCAGTGGTGCCCCGTCCTGTCGAGGAGCCACATGCTTCTTTCAGCCTCCATGGATAAAACCTTCAAGGTAAACCTCGAGAAGGGCCTGTTTCTAGGTGCTGAAATGTTTTATTCATCAAAAATGGAGTGGGAGAGAGGGCCACTGCAGGTCCAGGAATATTTCTTTTTGAAGGCTTCTGTAGATCTCCATTCAAGCAAGGGTTTTCTTTCAAGAATTGTTTTTTATTTAACTTTGTTTATCTGTTTATTTTAGTTTGACCAGAGAGGGACAGAGAAGAGAGAGAGAGAGAGAAAATGAGAAAGCAAGCCGCCAGGTCTGGGATTCAAACCATGGTCGGCTATGTGGGAATCTATTGCAGCGAGTAAAACCCTCCTGGGACTCCCCCAAGTCATCTTTCTACACTCAAAGCGAGTGTGAAGCCATAGGCAGTAACATCAACTCTTTTCCGAGGAAGCGAAGCGAAGAGTGCGTCATACCGTATACCCCCAAAAGACTGAGGCAGCTGCAGGCCCCCAGCTCTGTGGAGCCGCAGGGCCCCGCTGCAGGGCCCACCCCCGCTCCAGCCCCGCTCTCTGTGGCCCCCACAGTATCCGAGTTCATCAAGCCCTATTTGGACAGTCAGTACAAAGAAACCAAGGTCCCCAGGAGGGTGCGTTTCCACCTGCAGGGCCACAGGGGCCCCGTCAACAACGTTCAGTGGTGCCCCGTCCTGTCGAGGAGCCACATGCTTCTTTCAGCCTCCATGGATAAAACCTTCAAGGTAAACCTCGAGAAGGGCCTGTTTCTAGGTGCTGAAATGTTTTATTCATCAAAAATGGAGTGGGAGAGAGGGCCACTGCAGGTCCAGGAATATTTCTTTTTGAAGGCTTCTGTAGATCTCCATTCAAGCAAGGGTTTTCTTTCAAGAATTGTTTTTTATTTAACTTTGTTTATCTGTTTATTTTAGTTTGACCAGAGAGGGACAGAGAAGAGAGAGAGAGAGAGAAAATGAGAAAGCAAGCCGCCAGGTCTGGGATTCAAACCATGGTCGGCTATGTGGGAATCTAGCGCTCTTAACCACCATGCCACCTGCCGGCCCCCAGGCAAGGGTTTTCTGTGGTCAGCCCTGGATTGCTGGGCCCTTCTGCCCCTGCCCTGACACTGCCTCACCCAGGGTACTGCAGGTGCTGGTCTTTAGCTCTCTGGGGCGCTGGGAACTTGGGGACAATCTCAGTGCCCACAGAGCATTGCAATGTGCTAGCTCTGTACCAGGTTTTGGGAACCATGCTGGACGTAGGGAGTGCACAAGTAGGTAGACCCTGCTCGGCTTCAGGGCTGACATGGTGCGGTAGAAGCCACGCGCTAGTGGCGCTCAGCCCTGGGCCTGGAGTCCAGGTGCCATCGCAGTGGAGGCTCCTGACACAGGGCAGGCCTGTGGCGGTGCCAGGGAAGGGTGCTCTGCTGGGGAGCTCTGTGTGCACGAGGGCTCAGAGCTGGGGCCAGCTGGGCAGCCTGCAGGCCGGGGAACGAGGGAGGGTGCACACGCACACCCACTGGGGGCTTCTGCTTGTCATCATGTTTGTTTTTACAAGCCACCGAAGTCATGCTGCATCAGTTTCCCACAGTCTCAGGTCTGCCAACGACGGTCCCCACCCCTCCTGGCTCTGCAAGGTGTCCCTCCTCCTCGCTCCCCCAGGCGCCTCACAGAGCACCCTCTAAACAGCAGGTGCTGAGCAAGTGTCCCAGAAAGGGCTCTGGGAAAGAAAAGGGCTGTCAAGCTGGGGACTTGGCGCAGGTCCAGCTTTGCTGCGGAGTGGCTGGGCAGTGGTGTCGCCCCTGTAAAAAGGCAAGAGTCACCTGTGTCATGTGATCATGTGAAAAAAAAATGCTAATAAAACACGAGGTGGGGTCAGCAGGTGGCTTGGTGGTTAGGGGTGCTGGACTCCCACATGGCCAACCATGGTTTAAGTCCTGGACCTGGTGGCTTGCTTTTTCACTTTTCCTCTCTCTCTCTCTGTCCCTTCTTTGAGGGTAAGGTAAAAAAAATAAATAAAAAAAAAAAAAAAAAAAAAGCACTGGGCACAGAGCCAGGTACCCACAGGTGCTCGGTGAACGTCTGGGTTCCTGTCCCCGTTTCCTCACGTTCTGGAAACAAACACCCAGGTCGTAGTATTTGCAAGTTCCATTTTGAGCTTTTTTCCCCCTGGGAGGCATTTTCTGAAGTAGTAAAGGAAGCTCCGAGTGTGGGGTGATCCTGGAAAGGAGCCAAGTAGCTGGGTGGCAGGTCCTGGAGTCACTTGTCTGTGTTCTTGTTTGCCAAGGCTAACAGTGACAGGAGGACACCCAGCCTGGGGTCCCAGGGTTTTCCGCTCAGGTCTCTGCCCTGGGCGGCCTAGGCTGCGAGGTTATCGTCCCCTGGTGGACCGACCCCACAGCCTGGCTGCTCAGCTCACTCGGGCCTGTGCCCGTCTGTGTGGGAGCCCACCTGGAGGGCGTCAGGTGGGCCTGGGTGGGGCCCGGCTGGCTGGCCTAGAGTCTGGTGAGGCCCTGTGTGCCCCTGAGCTCCCTGTGCTCCAGTTCTTGCCCTTGGCGCTCTGAAGGTCCCGCCCTTCATCCTCGACTGGAATTCCCGAGGGCGGGTCAGGGCAGTCACCGAGCTGCTCCTTGGCCTCGGAGTTGGAGTTGTCATTCCCTCTGGGTCATTTACCCGGCAGGGGCTCCGCATACTGAAGGCCCTGTGCCAGGTGCTGAGCAGCACTGAGTGAGACAGGCCGTGTCCTCGCTCCTGGGAGCTGACACGATGACAGGGCCTCTCACGTCCCTCGGCACACTCTGCTGTTTGCACATGCTGCCTGTCTTGCTAGACGTGGCCTTGGGACGGCCGGGGCTGTCCTGGACCCCCTGCACAGGCGATGGCCACCCTGCCTCCCAGGTGGCACCCAGCACGCAGAGCTGCCGGGCTGTCAGAGAGGCCGGATGTGTCCACGCTCCCAGTCCGACCCTGGTCTGTGGCCACCTGGGGCTCAGGCAGCCACCTCTGGGACCCCAGAGAGACAGGGAGGGCAGCCTGGCCGAGTCTTGTGGCATAGGTGGGAGGCAGCCAGTTCCACGGGCAGAGATGAGCGGGCGCCTTCTGCTCAGGGCACTGCTTGGTGGAGAGCTGTGTGGGGAGGGCGCTCACCTCCTGCCCGCCCACCGTGTCCAGACCCCAAGCCCTGCGTGGGAACTGGTCCCCAGCTGCTGCAGTGCCATGCTCTCACTGGCTGGGCCACTTGGTCACTTGTTCCCGGGAGACCTAGATTTCCTAAGCAGCAGCGTCCCCATGGTGGTTTCTGAACAGTGCCCGGGTGGAAGCGGACCAAAGTGCAGGCGCAGCACTCTGAGGGCTGCCAGGAAACGTTCCTCCCCCAGGGAAGGGAGCCTTGGACAGCTGGCCAACTGTGACGGCCCGTGACCAGACGGGGGCGCAGGAGGCCCAGCTTGGGATGGCAGCGCCGGCTGCACCGCTGAGGGACTGTCAGAGCAAAGCCTCTGCTGGTCGTTCACCTCGGCAGGGCCCTGTGCTCTCCTGTGTCCGCTCACCTCGGCAGGGCCCCGTGCTCTCACCGTGTCCGCTCACCTTGGCAGGGCCCCGTGCTCTCACTGTGTCCGCCTGTCCCGCTCGTAATGACACTGGCCCCACTGCTTCCAGCAGCCCTGCCCGCTGCCCTGCCCATCCTTCGGGGGCAGCCCCAGGGGCAGGGTCAGCCTGGGTGCTCCCGGGGTTGGCTCTGCCCGCTCCCTCCTGCATCTTGAGAATCAGAGCTCTCTGCCTTAGGGTGCTGGGTGGTTTTCAGGGACTGTGTTACTTGCCAGGGTGGTTTTGGGCAAGTTGTCTTCGAGCCTCTTCCCCGTGTGACTGTGGCCCAGCTGGGAGGCCAGGGTGGAAGGTGGAGGGGAACGGTGGGGGGGGACCCCTGCCCCCACCAGACTGGCCTGCTGGGCCCTCAGGTTTGTGTGCGGCCTGGCTGTACAGCTCGTGATGTTCCTCCCTGTCTGACCTCAGCTCAGCGGATCCTGGGGAACCCTGTGACCTGGTGGGAGGCAGTGTGGGTGCGGGGCTGGAGCGGGGACCTGTTACCTCTGCAGCTCAGTCCCTGGTGGATGAGCGAGGGGGTGGGTGTGACAGCTCACCCCTCTAACCTTGAGCTTCCTTCCAAGGGTACCTTTCCTTGTTCTTTTCTTTTCGTTTTTTTTTGTTAGCGGCACCTGCACTTGCCAGAGCGAAACACAGGCAGAGGAGGGAAGCACCACGGGCAGGGACCGGGTCGTGATCCCTTCTCCTCCCTTCCTCTTTTTTTGGGGTGTTGTGGGCACACATGCAGGTGCGCTCTGTGTGTTTTTCAAGCCATCGGGTCTGGGACTTGAACTGTGCACTCAGCCTTACCCAGCTGCCTCACCACCAGGCTGTGGCTGCCTGGCTCTTTTTCTGTTGGTGAAAATTAGTAAGAGTTGGGCCAGGTGGTGGCGCTGTGGTCACGCAACTGAATTCATGTGGGGCGGTTCTGGCTTCTGGCCTGGGACCTCCGCGGGCGTGGGGTGCCCCGACTCAGGCCGGCTAAGGGGCTAGATGGCGGCGTGAAGACCCTCTGGGCATGCCTGCCTCTCCCGCGGCGCTCTTTCTCATGGAGAAATAAGTAGACATCACAACCAGAAATCTGCCCAGTGCGGTGTCTTCTGGCCTGCTCTGGGGGCTCTGGGGGCCCAGGACTTCCGAGTCCTCCCTCTGCCTGCCGCCTGCTGGTTGTGCCCTCTCCGGGAAGTTACTTCGCGGAGCCTCAGTTCGCGAGTCCGTGGAGTGGGGATAATTCCGTGCGCCTTGTTGAGGTCTCGGGACAAACGACGTTGATGTGCGTTGCCCAGCGTCGGGCGCAGGTGGCCCGCGTGCGTGCAGAGTTTCTGCTCTCCCGGGAGCTCTCCTCCCTGGCGTGCCCTGGTCTTACTCACCCCAGCAGCTGTGGAGCCTCACCTGCTCCCTTGCTGGATTGGCAGCTTCCGAGCACGGGGATTGTGTAAAACCCACTTTTATGTTCTCCTTAGCATCTGGC